AAAAACAAATTGTACTTCGAGTATTTCACTGTCTTGAAAGAGATCATCAGCGATCAAAAGATAACTTAGTGCATATGTGCTGTAATTCTACGGATGTACCTCCGAATAACCAACCGGGCGTTCCAACATCATTAACTTCCACAATTACAAAAGATAAATTAGTTGATATGTGCTCTGATTATACGGGTGTACCAAAATCATCAGTTTACAAAATACTAAGAGAAAACAAAATTCATGGGGAAGTACAAACGCCAAAAACTAGTAGCGGAAGAAAAAAAAATCACAGTTGATGAAGAAGCCAAAAACAGTATACGCACAACTATTCACAGTTTCTTTTTCAGAAATGAGCTGCCCACTGTGCAAAAAGTTCTGGAGGCAGTTAGCGATCATGAATTGGTCCCACAAATGAGTAAAGAAACTTTGAGGAAAATTTTACACGAAATGAAATTTACGTACGCAAGTAAAAGGATATGTGGCACGAGAAAACAGAACATTTAAATTAGTGGACGTGCAACGTTACCTACAAGAAGCCATTCAAAATGTTTCTGCAGAAGACTGGAAGAAATGCATTCAGCATGTTTTAAAAGAAGAGCAAAAAATGTGGGACGTAGACAACCGTATTGAACACAATATTGAACCAATCATAATTAACTTTGATGATAGCGGTAGCAGCAGTGACGAATCTGAGGTTGAAGATTAGAAGAAAATTTGTACACAAAAAGAAGTCTATATATTTAGGTATAATTTTTATTTTTACCATTCACTATTACCATTTAGAAATTATTATATAAATTTGTATTTTTAATTCCTGTACACAGACATGCACAATGTCTCAGCAGGATACAAATGTTTATTTATTTAATTATTATTATTGTATCAATTTGTACATTGTTACATAAATTTGAAATAAACATTATTATTATTATTATTTTTATTATTATTATGTTTGGCGGTCAAGAAAACATAATCCTGTAGGTTATATCCAAACTAATTATCTTACTTAGGGATTTCCGAAATGATAGGTGCGTGTAAACTTTTATGATTTAAGTACCAATCAAATAGTAATTTAAGCTTTATAATGTCTTTTAATGTTGGCCGAACCCAATTAGGGTTTCTTGGGTAAGGCTGCTTAGTTTCGAGGAACTGCAGGTAAACCGGGAGAGAGAGAGAGAGAGAGAGAGAGAGAGAGAGAGAGAGAGAGAGAGAGAGAGAGAGAGAGAGAGAGAGAGAGAGATATATATATAGAGGTATGCTTTATTGTCATTGAAAAATTACAAAAATTTTATAGACAAAGCGAAGTAAATTAAAAACTAAATATAATATAAAAAGATTAAAAAATATAAAAATTTAAAAATAACTAAACAAAACTAAATAAAAATATCAATTGCATTGGATATGCAATATCCGTCATTATGATTTTAATTTAAAATTTAAGTAATACTTCTGTATGTGTAACCCAAGAAGAAACTTAAGAGACAGTTCCTTACTGACTTCGGCCGCGACATAATATATAAATATACGTTAATTTGTGAAATAAAGTTAAATTCGTTATTAAAATAGGAAAATTGATAATATTGTTTCTGTCACCAAACCAACCCCTGATTAGGTATCTTTCTTATTTTTAATTTGAAATATATATTGTGATTTTTATTAATATTCTTAATTTATTTGGTTCCTACTATAATTACCACAATTATTACTCCGTTTTCATAAAGCCCCACTAATGACTACAACGATTAGGTAAATTACGATATTGCAAAGTTTTCATGAAATAAATAAAAGAAATTGTATGAATATTTTAAATAATTGTACCCTCTCAAAAATAATAAGCACGCCTCCGATTTGGTCGTATTTCTACCTGCTTTCACTCTCAATCATTATTTGTTTGAGTTATAGTCTTATATGCTCTAAGATGTTTTTGTTAAAAGTATGGTTAGAATTAAATGTCAGTGGAATCAAAATGGCATCACACCGAACTAGCCCATTATAGTATAACTATAAAATACATAATAGTTGATATTGTTATTCGACCGAAAACCATTTAACATAAGAAAATCTCAGGGTATAATGAAGACGTCACGTTGGTAAAGGTTTTATTTCACTTTATAATTGATGGAAGAGTTATGTGTTGTCAAAATAAATATTTCTTTAAATCCCCTGTAGAAAATTAAGATCGCACTAACGCGAGGTCAAGCAATGCATCATAACCTATGACAACAGAAAACAGAATAATTTAAACGCTCAGGGTTTTTGCTACATTCGCAACGAAAACATTTTGATTCACTCTTGACAACAAGTCAAACAGACGAATTTAACTGTACTCAGTTTATTTTAAATCGCCTGCTATTAACCAGAGGCGGAACCCTATGAATAAAAATTGGTTAATCGACAAGAATAATTTAACCTTTTTTTTTACTAAGCTGTGATCCATAAAAAACGTTTCTGAATGTCGGATTTTTCAAATCATCTTCTTTTTAAGTCTTCGCCTCTTGGCTTAAAAACTTTTATAAGTGCAGGGTGTCGCCCAAATGCAATTTTAAATGAGATGAATGTTATTATATAGTATAGCATTAAGCTATAATAAAGTAATACATATTAAAAAAATCATTTTATAAAACAGGAATGAGGTTAACCAAATATCGCATAGATTATGCATGACAATGGACAGTGAGGACAAACATTTTGATTGATTCTTTGTTGTGTAACGCCATCCAAATGTGATTATCAGCTATTAGTCAAGTACACGATGTATAATTATCAATTAATCAATGAAAATTGCGAATATATCGTAGATCAAAAAAGATTAATTAAAAATAAAAATGAAATTATTAGATTTTAAGTGATATAGCCATAAAAAATAGAATGTGCAAAAAATGGACCAGAACAAGAAATTTCCCACAAAAATAAATATTTCAACGGAAAGCGAAACTCTTACTGTCTGGAAATTTTGGTCGCCATGCCCTCCTATCGTGTCTTTTAATTAATCCTGAATATTCTGTTCTTTTATACGCGTCTGTCCTAAATCAATTATATTTTAGTCACGAGTCTGTAAGAAAACTTTAATAATATTCTGATGTAAAACCTTTAACCAAAGTCAAATATGAAAAAACAAAAATTATCTAAACAAATCCTTATTAGAGCTGTACTTTGAATATTTTCATGATTTTTATCCATTGTTCAATTATAACTGACCCTGTATTATACAATATGATTCAAATGAAAGGAATAAATTCATTATAATGGAAGTAGTTGGTTTTTCCAAAAAATCCTCGGACAGGTCAATTTTGTTTACTAAAAGCGCAATTTTTCAAAATTAATTTAAGTTTCCTCCACTTCTCATTTTTGGGCACTGACGTCATTGACAATTTTTTAAATAGTAACCTTATTTTTTTATAAAAGTAATTTAAAGATCAGACACGTAAATTTTATTTTTTTTAAGATCAGAATAAATGAATTTGTAATTAAGTGCCTGATCTAACAAAATAATAATAATAAAAATATTTTAATGACAATTCCACATCAAAATAATTCAAAAATTTTCTACTAAATTAGGTGTTCAAAATGTCCACCGATATCTTGCCTTTTATTATTACAATAAATATTATTAATATTCATTAAATACAACCAAATCTATATCAAGTGCTCAAATTGTCGACACTCAGCTAAAATGGGAAGACGTGCAGCGATCTCTCTTTGCAATGTCAATACGTATCCATTCTTTGAGATCGTTGATATTTTGTGGTCGATAATAATTTAGGTACTAATGGTAGTACAAGTGTAAATTCACAAAAGACCCCATACAATAATAACGAAGGGGTGTTGACCCATTTGATTGATGATATTATATACCCCAAGAGACTCTACATATGGTAGAAGTACCTATGTAAGGTTCCTCATGACACCCTGTATAATATGATAATCTGACAGTAGAAATGATATGTTAAATAACGGTAAGTACCCATAGGTTGTAATTCAATGACAATTTCGCATACAGTAATTATTTATCTAGAACTTGTACGGCATTCTTATTCTGTATTTGGAAAACTTTCCATAAATAGAAATAAATCCTGATTTATTTGCTGTACTTATTTATTATTATAATTTCTTTATTTTCAATTTCCTATCTTCAAATTTTCTTCCATTTGTAAGTCTCATCTTAATTTAGCTTTGCCTTTTCGTCTAGTTATTATTGGTTGTGAATAACTTTTTTAATTCGATTGGGAAAGCGACATATTGCAGAAGTAACAGCAGTTAGCTTAAAGCCACTTTTTCGCTTTTACTTATAACTCTCGTTACGCCCCCTTAGAAACCAAAAAATATATTACGTCAATACACGTTTCGCGATATTTTGTATCTATTTCTTTACTTTTCTTATTTGTTTGTATTTTTACATAAGATGCAAATGAAACAAATAAATTAATTATTTAGTGAATAGGTAAATCTGGAGGAACATCAAGAAACTGATTTATTTTTATATTCAAATGGACCTGGCGTGTGATATTTTTATACGTGACTTCACCTGTGTGACCATGATGATGCCATCGATAATTTTTTTTAAGGAAATGTGGGTCCAGTCATTTAACTTTTTAACTTTCTACGATCCCAGGATAACATTTTTCACTCTACATTTGAATAATAACTATCCGTGATATGTCAATTAATTGAGTTTTTGCTTTTCTACACAACATGTAGTAACTTTAACCGAGTTTCAATAACGAATAAACATGAAAACTGCAACTTTATAAACTGGGTAATTTTTTTGGTTTATATGCTAATTGATACTTATGAGTACTGTTACAAAATTAACAAACAGTGGACAGTGAATCGGAAGTGAATTGAGATGTGCCAAATTAGTAGAATGCATTATTAAACAATTTCACACAAGAAAATAACTGTATCTACTAACAATGTTAGATAAAATCATTTGACTTTCAAAAGTGCAAAATTGTTCATAATGTCCAAAGCTTGAAAAATTCAAGCCGAGCTTTGGAGTAACTAATATGAGTCCAACTAATAATGAAGATCGCGATCCCAATTTTGTGCTGAAAGAGGAAAATACATCAGAAACTGAAGACGATATTGAAGAAGTTGTTGGAGAGAAAGAAGAGGATAGTTATAAAACTATGAAGTAGGAGAAGAGTTGCAAGGGGAAGTCATAGACAAAGTACAAATAACGGCAGAAGAGAAGTTAAAAGTTGGAGAAATCAATTAACTATAGACTGTAAAATCTGGGCATATGCGTGGGCCTATGCTGCATCTGTTCCATCTTGACGTCTTTCGAGAAACATTGTTAGTATCAAACTAGCACCAACGTCATATGGCAGCGAGGCCAATGAACTATTTGAGTTTTTCAATATTTTGTTTAATTTTGACATGAAGATAAGTATTTGTTATCATATTAATCAAGAAACAACTCGTATTTACCTACCGAAAGAACAATGGAAAACTCCGAAGACCTAGAATATATGAAAAGACATTGATGTTATAGAACTTAATGCATTTATTAACGTTTTGATTATAGCAGGAGCTTTACGTTGTCGGAAAGAGATCGATAGAGAAATATGGTGTACACTTGAGTCTATTCGTAATAACTTTGTCATATTCACAACGTTAATGTTTCGTGACATTTTAACTCAGATAAGCAATTTTATTGGAGTTAATGATATAGAGACAAGACAAGAGCTGAGAAAAATTTTCTGGTATATGTAAACCCACTTTTTAATTTATTTGTTTCCTAAAATAATACATATTCTCATAAAAAATAGAGAGAATATCTTATTTCGTACCTAAAGTGATAAAAATGACGTTTCCATAAAAAACGAAATATATTTTTCGGAGATCGATTTGGATTTTCTCAAAAATAAATTCATAATTTTTTAATATAGTTGTTTAAGAGATAATTGTCCAACCATTTTAGTAAGATTAAAGTAGTTAAGTCAAAAAATTAACACACATATTATCTTTTGTTCTCATGTATTTATCTTCAACTATTTTAGTTACCCAAAAGTAAGAGGAAAGAAAACTAAGTCATTAACCACAGAGTTTATTGTTTTTTAAATTATGACGGCAGAAGGGGCTGTATACATTTGGTTAAAAATATGATTAGAAAAGTGTTTTACCTACTTAACATCGTCTCACTCAGACGAAGATATGGGCTCAGTAGGCATAAATACATTTCTCATATACACCTATGCTGTCTAATGGAATTTCAGCATTTGAGAATGAGCCTGAACAGCATCTGGCCCGAACTAGCACTGTCTAGGAATCTCGACAGTCAATGTCGTTGATGGTCTGATCTAGACGAAATAGCATTTGTCTAGAGAAGGATATTTAGGTTCGAATCCCGCGACGACAGGCTTTTCTTCAAACACAAATTTTTTAATTTTTTCTCGAAACAAGCTTTTATATCTACGTTTATCGAGAATATTTTATTAAGAGCTATTAATTAAATACGATTAATTATTTTTCATTTATCTCGTATTTTAAACCAAGGTAAAGAAGTTTTGCTTGTTTTTTCTTTATATTTCCCGATAAATTTTCTGACCATGTTTCATTTACCAAGAACTACTGTCTTTGCATCTTAATGTATATGATGATGGTACCTCTAACTTTTTCAGTGCTTCATGGAGATTGCGTGGTACTACTTCTGTAGATATAATTATGGGCAAGATATGTACTATTTTAACCTGCCCTAGCTATTTTACTTCAAGAAGTAATTTGGCATATTTTCTAATTTTTTCAGCATATGCTGCTTGAATATTGCCTGTATTTGGAATAGAAACGTCTATCAAGAACGCTATATTAATATCTGGCCTATTGTGAGATACGGTTAAGAGTCCTCGTTCCCAGTATATTCGAGCTGAACTATTTTACAAAATTTTTGGAGGGTTACACTTGTAGTAGGGAGTGGTTTTTTCTTTTAATTAATATTTTACAGACAACTGATCATGCAATATTTTCGCTACATTATCATGTCTCACTTTATATTCCGTTTGTGCTAGTACTTGGCATCCGAAAATTATATGTTGAACATTTTCAACGGCCGATTTACATCTTCTACATGTGTCATCTTCAGCACCATCCCTTATAACATGTTTTTTGTAGTTTTTTGTACTTATTACTTAAGCTTGGATCATGAACCCTTCTGTTTCAGGAAACAGAGAACTATAAGACAGTCATGCGTTGGATGCAATCTTGTCGACATGTGGTTGGTTTAGTGTCTGTGCATGTTTTCCATGTAGCGCTTTTTGAGTCAAGCTTGATGTTTCTCAGCGCTGCTTGTAAAAATTCACCATCTCTACTTAAATTAAGCGATGAATAGTTATCATCACTGCAAGATGCATTTCTGAAGTCTGCTGTTTTTCAAGGAAGTATTTCTTTTCTGTTTACTCAGTAAGTTGCTGATATCAATTAACCCTCTCCCACTTTCCGTGCGAGGTAACGTAAGCCGTTCGATGGCGGATTTTGGATGGTGAAATTGACATTTGTAAGTGATTTATTTGTTATCCTTTGTAGTTCGTTTATATCTATTTGCGTCCAATAGATAACACCAAAGCTATAAGTAAGTATTAGGACTGCAAATGTATTTATGGCTTTTATCATATGTTTTCCTGATAGTTTAGTTTTCGTTAGCATTTTTAGGTTTTTGATGTATTTTGTGGTAATATATGTTTTTGTGTCTTTTTCTTTTATTAACCGGGATTGTTTTATACCCAAGTAATTATACATATCTCCTTCTTGCATACATTCTATTGTTTCATTATTTTCCTTTTTATGTTCTACATTCTTTCTTTTTTCATTTCGTATTCTTTGTGTTTTAAATTTTTCCATCCCAAATCCCATTCCTATATGTGTGCTAAATATTTCGACGATATTAAGCATTTGTTTGAGTTGATGTTCAGTACTACAATATAACTTAATATCGTCCATGTACATTAGATGTGATAGTTTGTACGTGGCTCCTTGTTTTTCGTTATAATGTATCCCTTATTTCCACTGTTTAGCATATTTGAGAGCGGATTTAGAGCCAGGCAGAACCAGAGGGGCTTAACAAATCTCCTTGGAATATACCTCTATTTATGGGGATTGGCTGTGTAGTAAACTTTGTATTTCCCATTTCTACTTCAAGTATTGTTTCCCAATGATGATGTAGTTTTCTGTAAAAAATTCGTAAGTATGGTATTTATTTTATATATTTTTTGAATTTCTAGCAGCCAGCTATGTTGGATAGAGTCAAATGATTTGCGATACTCAATATAACCTGTATAAATATTGCGGTTTTTCTTATATGCTTGTTTTATTACTATTTAATCAATTAGCAGATGCTCCTTATAACATTGACAGTTTTTGCGACATCCTTTTTGTTGTTCGGCAAGTATATGTTTATTATTATCATTATAATGTTAAACGTATTTTTTCACGTTTATGTTTCTCCGCCCCCCAGTTCCTCCCGTAGTCGGCACCTATGCACCATAGTGTATAAATGAAAATACTCGTGAAAATATTATCATTTAATTTTAGTTCATCCCAGATCAAAGGACAGTATTTAAATGATTCAATACGGGTAATCTCAGTTCGCCGACACTGCTTTCCACGGTTTATTTTAAGTGACCCGCCAATTAGCAGCATCTTTCTGGTAGGTAATTTTCGTACGCGAGTCATTAGAGGCAAAATATGGCGTTGCGCTGGCGAAGCGGCGCGACGCAGCCGACGCTCGTACCCGACGCCGAAATAATAAGCGTCGCGCGTTATCGCCTGTCAAATATATCAACAAAATACCTTCTGTGTTTGACAAATAGTCGGTTTAATATCTGTTGCTCGGATGTCATCGTTACCTACGTCCCGTGCAATGCGATGTTGTCAGATTTTGAAGATGCGTTTTAATTTTTTCGACCACTTATGTTTCGTCGTTTTGATAATAGGAGGGCAACTATTCTGAGGGCCGGTTTGTCAGTTTAATTTCAAAATCTAACCCTTAACTTAATTTTTCCACAAAAATGCTGCGGTTTTCTTGATATTTAGGCGTCAAATTTAATAAAACAAATGTTGGTTATTTGTATAGCTTTCGGTACCTATTTTGGCCCTGGCCCTTCATTCATGAGTATTTATAATTCTTTATTGATGTCATTCTTGTTATTTTATTTATGTACCTATATGTCTACAATTACGAGTAGTACAAAGTATTAGGTATTTGTAATTTAGAACAAAAAGATGGTTTATTGGGTGTTCATTACTAATTATGTTATAATCCCTCATCTAACTGCAAAAAGTGGTAGTCGTCTTTTTTGCTTGCTATTTGTAGGGTACAGGGTAGAGAGGTGAACATGTACTATGTCCCGCTGATGGGAACTGTCGTGAAACCTACCAAAAAACGAAAACCTGAAAAATCCATCGATACACAACTTTACTTTGAATATGACAGGTTACACAGATTACACATTCTCAACCCTGGGACCTAGTACATGTAGTTCACTCCCTCCTCTGTATCGAACTACAAATAGCAAGCAAAAAACACGACAAGCTACTTTTTGCAGTTTAATGAAAAATGTTGTTTGTTTGGGGGACATAATATATAGGGTGGCCACTGGCAACGCCTGGGTCTGTAGAGCCAAAAACTACATGATTTTTGTAGAATCTGTTTTCACAGCAAGATGTGTATCAGAAAATACACAACAATTTTAAAATAATTTCAATTATACAGGATTCCCCAAAAAAGTAATACACATCAAAATTAGGTTTTTTAAATGAAACAGCTTGTATTTCATTTTATATTTGAATTGTCCTCGCTTTTCCCATTATAACAATACCAAATAGTAACAGATTCGTCTTCTTCTTCCTCCTCTCCTTAATCTTATGATCTTTGTCAACCTTTACACCGTATCTTTATAGTTTGCTTATTTAAATTTAACATACATACATTTCAATTACAATTTTACTCCAAACTTCTGACATTTTTCTAAAATTTTCCAAAATTGACAACCTTTTTCCCAAATTCCCAAATCTTTCAAACTTGACTTTTTATAACCATCTTTTTTATCAAGAAACCAATCTTTTCTCTCTACTTCTCATAGTCTGCTTACCTTAAGACTTTCTATGTACTTTAATTATACAGG